AACCACCGAGCTTAATACTCAAAACCCTGTTCTCATCATCATGCCAGCAAGTCACACCAGTGAACTTGCAGATGTAACCAGCAGTCTTGTTGCCAAACACCCAGCTCGTTAAGTATCCATTTGGATCCTTAACTTGGTTATATATGGTCTTTAAGCAGTTAACGTTGGCCTCATTTGCATCGGTAAAGCTAGACAGGAGCAGCAAGCAGAGACAGTTCCCTAGGAAAACTGCAAATACTAATCTACTCACCATCATAGGATCCACAGAAAGAGAGTAAAAATTGCTAGAAGTGGCTAGAAACTAGGGGTTGTCTCTGATGAGCATCAAAAGTCCTGGAAACAAAAGAATTATAAATAGAAACAAATAAATAAGAAGATGAAGCGATCTTGAAATGAGTTGACTTCAAAGGTGAAAGATAGTTCAAGAAAGTCTTTGAGAGGAACTTACAAAGGAAGAACTAGAGAACAAGAGAGGAGTGGTTTGGTCTTGGTCGTGCAACTTGTGTTCAACGAGGAGGAATAAGAAGAAGTTCGCGCAGCAGCATCTGTTGGGGGAAAGTGTGTTAATGAAAGAAGGAGAAAAAGCGTGAATGAATGAAAGAAAGGACTTGTTTAATTAAAATAAATAAAAGAGAGAGAGAGAGAGAGAGTGGAGTCGTCTGTGTTTGTCTGTTGTGTCGTTGACTAGATTAGTTGTGTGGAAGATTCAGAGTTCGTAAAGAATGGGGCAAAGACTATCTGATGAGAACGCTATGACTTATAACCAACCGGTCTTTCCGCGTTTTATTGTTTTTTTCCTTCTTTCGCTTTTTTGACTTTTCAACACCATCATATTAATGTTGGCCCAATATAACTAAATGGGCTTTTCGGGCCTTTTTACTAAAAGTAAATAAAAGGGGACATTCTAAAATTCAGACAAACTCACGTGATGTGTTTAAATGTTAAAAGGGGACATTGTAATATATGACTCGAGCCACTACGACCGTCTCGTGGAGCCGGATGGTGGAGAATGAGCCACCACCACCACACCCACTCTTTACTGTCACGTGCCTCCACTTATTACCACCAAAAGAAAGAAAGACAACGAAGAAAGTGTTTTGTCTATAAACCACTTTGCTTTTGCCTCCCTTCAACTTTCCTCTTTCCGATTTCACTTCCCTCTTCTGTCGAAAATTTTATCGATCGCTCAAAATGGATCTCCCATCTCCCAGTGCTACTTGATCTCCTGCTTCATCTGATCTTATTCCAGGTAAAGTTGTTGTCTCTTGTGATGTATTGTCTTTATTTGATCATGTCTCCACTGTAGCTAGGGTTTCCTAATTTTGTCCCAAAAGCTTTGAATTTTGCTTCAGGGTGATAAATTGAGTATGCTTGATGATGTTCGTATGGTTTCAGATGTTGGTGATGATTTTCTCTGTGGCTAACTTTAGAATTATTATTATTTTTCTCTTGAATCTGTAGAATTTTTGTAAGGTTTCTTGTTCGTTTGCAAGCGTCTCTCTTTTTCAAGTAGAAGCAAACCCATTTAATGATTTTGTACATTATTGTTCACAAAAGCTGTCCCTTTTTAAGGAATCAAGATGTCACTGATCTTTATTCCTCTGTCATTTTGGTATATCTAGGATCTCTACTCACAACTTGGAGATTGGACTTGTTTTGAATTGATAACCTTTTGGTTTTAAGTTTATATTATTCCCTTTTCTCTGTGAATATTTCATTCTCCTATATGGTAAAAGACTAAAAGTGAATATTATGTTTTTTTTCTGACATGTGTGATTGTTATCCATTATTGTGATTCTCTGGTCTCTAGTGTCGGAATCTTAACATTTTTTTTTACTATACTCCTGCTTATTCTTGTGTTTTTTTTCATACTGGTTTTTATTTGTTAAAGGACTTTTTATTTCACGTTCTTTAGCTTTTTTTCAAGATGGAGGATACCAGGTCAGTTGCTTCACTCATGGACTCCACATCATCCAAGATCCAACAGCTTCAAAAGGCCTTTGCTGAACTCGAAAGCCAACGCGCCGTAACACTCAACCTCAAATGGAACGAACTTGAAGAACATTTTCATGGTCTAGAAAAATCCTTAAAGAGACGGTTTCACGAGCTTGAAGATCAAGAAAAAGAGTACGAAACCAAAACAAGGAAAGCTCAAGAACTATTAGAGAAAAAGAAAGCAGCTGTAGAGGCCAAGGAGAAGGCCTCACTAGAAAGACTTCAGAAGAAGAGAGACGCAGCTGTGTTTGCTATCAACACTGCTTTAGATAAGTACAACAACAACAACACTCCCATCACTATCACTTCTGTTGTTGATGATAACCCGGATGGTACTGTGCAAGATGTTGAGGTGAAGGCTTATCCACAGTTAGTGAAACTCTGCAGGGATATGGACTCAACAGGGCTACATAAGTTTGTATCAGACAACCGCAAGAACCTTGCATCACTAAAGGAAGAGATTCCTGTGGCGTTAAAGGCTGCAGCAAACCCTGCTACTTTAGTGTTGGACTCTTTGGAAGGGTTTTATCCCACGGAGGAGGCAGCAACCTCTGATGGAAAGAAAGACGCTAACCTCTTGGGAATGCGCAGGACATGTGTCTTGTTGATGGAGTGTCTTAGCGTACTGTTATCTGGTTTAGACAGCAACTCCCTTGCTGCTGTCTTGTCAGAAGATGTTAGGAATAGAGCAAAAGGTATTGCAGAAGGGTGGAATTCACTGCTGGAGACTCTTGAGATGGATGCTGGGAATGGGAACTCTTTGGAGGCTCATGCTTTCTTGCAACTACTGGCTAGTTTTGGTATTGTTTCTGACTTTGAAGAAGGTGAACTCTTGAAGCTGATCCCTATGGTCTCACGTCGCCGTCAGGCAGCTGAGCTTTGCCGTTCTCTTGGATTGTCAGCAAAAATGCATGGTTTGTTCTCTAATTTTAAAAGAAATGGCGCTTCAATAGGATTAGCAACTAAGCGGCTTATTGTTTAGGAGTTAACAAAGTCTTGATTTAAAATAATATATTTTACATTCATATTAGATATTTTAGGTTGATTGGTTTAATATTTTTAGCCCAACTTAAATTAATTTAGACATGTTTATATTGATTTAACTGATTTAGAACAGTTTAAACTGGTTTGAATCACATAAATCAGATTTTTTTTTTTTTTTTTTAAATCGTCTGGTTTGACTAGCCGCTGGCTAGACCGATTTTTAGAACTTTGGCTGATTCTATTGCATGTCATATTCCATTTTGATCTGAAGTTTGGCATTTCTATGTTTTTACATTTGTAGTGCACATCCAAATTATGTGGCTTTACCATTGGTCTTAACCCTTGATGTGCACCACTCTGTTTACTGCAGGTGTGATTGAAGTTCTCGTGAAGAGTGGTAAACAGATTGATGCTGTGAACTTGGCATTTGCATTTGAACTCACAGAACAGTTCCCACCTGTTGAGTTACTTAAATCTTACTTGACTGAGACAAGTAGATCTTCCTCCCAAGGCAATGCATCCCCTGCTGTTCAGGCTAGTGTTCCCTTACTTGATAACTTACATTATACATTACTTGCAAGATAAAATAAAGGGAGATGTTAATGCACACTGCCTAGTTAATCTTACCTCGTTGGAACATCTCTGAGCTCTGTTCAGTTAGCTGTCATCTTTTACTTCAGAGTTCTAAAAGACTAAAACCTTTGAATCTTGAAACTGATGCTTTCAGGATCAGATTATCATAACTATATGTGTACAATGCAGGATGAGTTCAATGAGAGGGAGCTAACAGGTCTGAAAGCTGTGATAAAGTGTGTAGAAGAGCATAACCTGGAAGAACAGTACCCAGTGGAGCCACTTCACAAAAGGATTCTGCAGCTGGAGAAGGCCAAAGCAGAGAAAAAGAGAGCAACAGAACCCACAAAGCCTCAGCCAAAGCGACCACGTGGTCCTCAACCTCGAGTCACTGACAACAACAACAACAATAACAGCAAGACAGGATATGGTAGAGTGATCCCTGAGAGGTATCCGCAGTATGTGTATGACAACAGACCGTTCCTTAACGGTCCAATCATGGCAGCACAAGCTCCTCCGCCTCCTCCTCAGACTTACAGTTTCAGTCCCGCTGCTGCTCATGGGAACTTCTACGGGAACTGTTATCAGTATCAGGCTCCTCCTCCTGCTTACTTTCATTAGTGATAAAAAAAGGTGATGGTGAATGTGACTCTTTCTCTCTTATGGTGTTAACTATGGTGTTAACTAGTGGCAGCTCTTTAACCCCTCCTCTCCTTTTACTTTGATGTTACATTGTTGTGTGTGGATGATTTTAGTATTTTTTAAGGATCAACCCTAAACAAAAACAAAAACACAAAAAATACTAAGAATTTCTATTTAATTTATCTTCACTGTTGTAATCTTTTCTTAATTTCTTTCTTACTCCCAGGAAAAATAAAAATAAAATAAATAATCCGTCATACTAAGACCTGTTCTTTGTAGTGCTGAGACTTTTGTTCGAGATCCGGATCAGCTCTGAAATTATCCGTTCTGAAATTAGAATATCCGGATGTGCCCAGATCAGAATCCGGATAATAAAATCTCGGATCTGTGCAAATTGAATATGGATTTGGATATCTTAATTTTTAGATCTGGATATCCAGATTCGGATCCATATTTTAAAAAATACTTTAAATTTTTATTTTATTATTAATTATGTCTCATATTAATATTTATATATAAAATAAATTTATAATATACTATTTTAATATTAATAATATTATATGTCATATATATATTCATAAATTATGCATAAATATTTAATTTATGTATTATTTTTAAAAATTTTGAATTTTTTTAGTTTTTTTAATTATTTTTACGGATACGAATTTCGAATTCGGATACCCGTTATCACAATATTTAGACGGATACCCGAAGTTCGGATATCCGGAAGACACGAATTCAAATCCAGATATTAAAATCACGGATCCGTCGAATCCAGATCCGGATAGTTCAAATTTCCCAGATATCCGGCTCCGTCCGAGTCCTAGTTCTTCGTGTACATAAGGCAACCGTTTTTTTAATGTAGATTTTTTTATTAAGATTCATAAAAATATTTGTGACAAAAAAAGATTCATAAAAATATATTAAATTTTCAGTTGTAGAGTTATATCTTATCCATGTATTAATTCGTAATAAAATAACAAATTATTGTTAAGAAAAAGGTTGTTGACTTTTTTTTTTCTTTTTTTTGTGCAACGATGAAGTCGAAAAAGGTTGTTGACTAAGTTCGATCATAACAGTCTTAAGAGAGCGTTTACTTTTTGAGATGAAACGACTTCATCGTCTTCCTCCTCCACTTTCAGAGAATTTTAACGTTGGCTGTATAATATCATTTCTGTCTATGTACTTCTTTAATAGTTCTTCTTCCCAACAAAAAGTTCGTACAATACTATAAAAAGTGGATTACGTAAAAGTCAAGGTTAATAAGTCGTTAGCAAAAGAAAACACATTTGTGTTTACAACCGTTGACATATATATTTTTATTGCTAACATTGATCTGTTCAACGATATTTTTTACACTATTATACTCATTTTTCTTACTTTCTTCGACGAAATCATTAGAAGAAAATACAGTTGAATTTCCTAAAATGATGATTGGAGTGACAAAAGAGCAGCCAACCTCAAGATACAATCTGAAACTTACGGGATTTTTCAACAATACTAATATAACTTGTATTATAATCTTATATTCTAGTGGAATAGTTCAACTAGGGGAAAAACAAAACACGTTATGGGTTGGCTATATATCGTAAGAATTGATAAAAGTGATCATTATCCTTTGCAGTTTGAAACTTATTTTAAATGGAGAGGTTTGTTATTCAAAACCAAACTCTGCAGGTTTCATTTGTTGTTCTGTTTCTCTTCATTTCCAACTGTTTTGTTTTATGTCGAAACGACGACGTTAATGAAGACTCCAGGTCCGAGCAAGAACGGGTGAGTATCCGGGTCGGGTTGGTTTTGAATTTGGGTTCCGTGGAGGGGAAGATAGTGAGAAGCTCTGTTTCCTTGGCACTTTCTGATTTCTACGCCATTAACAGTCATTACAAAACAAGAGTCTCTCTTTCAGTCAGAAACTCCAACGGAGAGCCTATCCTTGCTCTATCGTCTGGTAACATTTATTACATTCATCTTTCCACCTTCTTCTCTTCTCTCCTCTGTCTATATTCACTCACCAATCCACTAATCACCAATTGGTTTTAAGTTAGAAGTTCATAATAAACCCAAAATCTAACACTTTTCAAATGAAACAGCTGTTGATCTGCTGCAAACTGTAGGAGTGGAGGCAATTTTTGGCGGGAACTCGTTGCTTGAGACGAAGCTTTTGGCGGAGCTTGGGGAGAAAGCTAGGGTTCCTGTGATATCACTTAATTCTCCCACATCACTCTCCCTGAAAAAATACAGTTATTTGATCCAAGCGACACATGATTCTTCCTCCGAGGCGAAGGGCATTACAGCTTTTCTCCATGAGTTTGATTGGAACAGTGTTGCTCTTGTTTATGAGGATGATGATGACTGGAGAGAGAGTATGCAAGTCCTGGTAGACCATTTCCATGAGAACGGGGTTCTTGTACGGTTCAAGGTTGGTTTTACAGTCTCTTCAAGCGAGGAGTTGATGATGGATCAACTAGGGAAGCTGAAGGGATTGGAGACAAGTGTTTTTGTGGTGCACATGTCTGAGCTTGTTGCAACTCGTCTCTTCCCATGTGCTGTGAAGTTAGGGATGATGAGTGAAGGTTTTGCTTGGATCCTCACTGCCAAAAGCATGAACACTTTCAATCATGACGTTGACGATTTTGCTAAAGAGTCAATGGAAGGTGTGGTTGGCTTCAGGTCTTACATTCCAAAGTCAAAAGAGCTTCAAAAGTTCACTTCAAGATGGAGAAAATCACTAAGCAATGAGGACGATGTTGTGTCTGAGATAACTCAGTTAAGCATCTCCGGCGTATGGGCTCATGATGTAGCTTGGGCACTGGCGAGAGCAGCGGAAGTGACAACGATGCCAAATGTAACATCAACTCTCCTTAAGGCCATCACAGAGTGTAGGTTCAAGGGTTTGAGCGGTAACTTCCAAATCAAGGATAATAATTACTTGTCAGACAAGTTTGAGATTGTGAACTTGATAGGATCAGGTGAGAGAAGGGTTGGATTTTGGAACTCTAATGGTACTTTCAGCAGTACAAGACATTCATCTTCTTCTACTCATAACAAGCTGGAGACCATATTCTGGCCCGGGGGAACGACTCAAAGTCCGAAAGGGCACAAAGTAGGAGAAACCAAAAGAAGAACTCTGAGGGTTTTGGTTACATCTAGTAACAGATTCCCAAAACTGGTGAACGTGACAAATGATCCAAAAACAAAAGAAATAATTGCCGATGGGTTTTGCTTAGAAGTCTTCAAGGCTGCCATTAGCCCTTTCAACTTTGATTTAGAGTTCATACGTTGGACCGGTGGTAGTAACTACAACAATCTTGCATATGTGCTTAGTAGCCAGGTACTAACCTTGGCTCAGTTTATGATTACAAATATTTTTCCTTGGCTCAGTTTATGATTACAAATATTTTTTCATCTATTTAGAGTATATAGAAACTGACAACTCCAATGAAATTTTTGTGTTGTGTCCCACAGAAAGACAAATATGATGCGGCTGTTGGAGATATCACAATCACTTCTAATAGATCTAATTATGTTGATTTTACTATACCATTCACAGAAATGGGTCTAGGAATGGTGGCACCAAAGCAAACTGGTATGTGGGTGTTCTTTCAACCTCTAACCCTAGACCTTTGGGTGACAAGTGCAGCTTTCTTTGTCTTGACGGGCACTATAGTTTGGTTGATAGAAAGACCTGAGAACACTGAGTTCCAGGGATCTTGGTCACAACAGATTGGAGTTATGCTTTGGTTTGGCTTCTCTACCCTTGTTTATGCTCACAGTAAGTACATTTTTTTTCATATTAATTCTTATATGAACTAATTATTAGATTTGGGTATGTCTTGGGTTTGCAACTCAAAATTAATTGGCTTTAATCAATTGACCTTAAGTATATATTAGTGTTTTTCCTTTTAATTTTTGCAATTTGCATGTAAAATCTCAACACGAAGGTAACTCTTTTAGATGAATTTCTAACTGAAGCTCACTTTTTAGATAGCATGGACTTGCACATTAAAATCAAATGGCAACGAGTTGATTGACACTAACCTTTTATATATTCATTAATTCTCCAATTATGATGTGGAACTTTTTATTCATTAAGATCCTCTCAACAATTGTGGGATGTCAATAATTTAGACACAACAGATAAAAAAAATGGTCTAAAACAGTTTTTCACTTTTTGTTAACTTGTTATTTGGAACAGGGGAGAAGCTAAAACACAACTTATCAAGATTTGTAGTTACAGTTTGGGTGTTTGCAGTTCTCATATTGACTACGAGTTATACTGCAACATTGACATCAATGATGACGGTGCAACAAATAAGATATAACTCCAACAAAGACTTTGTGGGTCACCTTTCAGGCTCACTCATTGCAAATGCGACCCTCAAAAGTCCTGAAATCAAAGCAATGAATACCAAAGGTCTCAATACCTCTGCAGATTATGCTAAAGCCTTGTTGAACAACACTGTCGCGTTCATTATCGATGAGCTGCCATACCTCAGTGTCCTCCTTGGAGAGAACCCTGGACGTTTTCTAATGGTGAAGCCACAAGTTACCACCAATGGTTTCGGATTTGTATGTATCCCTCTTTATCTTCATCAGTTTCCTTACTCTTCATATCTTTTTCTTATCTTGCTAAAAAAAAAAAGAGTTGGTGTGTTAAACTATGTTTCAGATGTTTCAAAAGGGTGACGAGTTGGTGCATAAGGTGTCCAAAGAAATCTCAGAGCTAAGGACAAAAGGGATGCTAAACGAGATGGCGAGAAGATGGTTTGAAAATCGTTTTCCATATACAATAGATGATCTATCAGACCCTATAGACCTTTACAGATTTCGCGGTTTGTTTATGATCACTGGAGGGTCTTCAGCTTTTGCACTTGCTGTAGTTATCATCATCTGGCTCCGGGAAAGATGGGAAGATCTTATGAGTTTCATCAACATATTTATCTCGAGACGACTTGTACATCTCAGGATCCTCTTGGCAAGACCTATCCATCCCAACCCCCTCTATGACATCATTGGCGAGAATGCGGTGCAAATGGCTCAACGTAACATGATAATAGGAGCTGATTGAAACATGGCAAAGGGTTCATTACCATTTGTATATAGCATCTCTAATACAAGTGAAGTGGATGGTCCTGTGTCTCTTGTGTGTTGTTGTGGCCCCAATTCTTTAACTTACACAATTGCTGTCATTAGGGATGTTAATTGGGTTCAATCTAATAGAGTTAACCATAACCCTAAATCAAAATTTATAGCCTAATCATGTCTTTAGAAATCTGGCTCAAAAGGGTTAGCATTATTAACCATGAATTTTAAGGGTTTCAAGTTTAACTCATTTATTTTTCTTCACACAATTTTTACACAATACTTAAATATATAATAAAATTATAAAAAATTTCGATTATGAAAATTTGAATTTTCTCACCAAAACTTAAAAACGAGTTTTTTCATCGAAACTTGAAAATGATGTTTTGACCAATCCTTGCTTGTAAGTTGCAGATGTAATTCATTGGTTCCCACTCTGATCAATACGCCATGTAATCATTTCGTATCCCACACCACAGTCCAACAACTTGTCACTTCTTGCCATGTAGTTTCTTATTCCGTTATTGCCGTTGCCTTGCAACCCAAGACTAGGTTTTGAGAACAATATGATCGTGATAAGACGAGTATGGTACTGGTTTCTTTCCACCTTCCAAGTACTCCACATGTCTCCATTAACAATTCTCCATTTTGCTGAAAAAAGTAGACGCCCCATAACTTGCTTATGACCGGCCCTGAGATATAAATAAGTGAGAAATTTAATAATAAAAAAATTACGACCATCTGGAATTTATTTTTTTCTGAACAAGGGATTTTATGTCTATTTATAAACTTAAAATTTGGTGATTAATAGACTAATATAAATTTGAACCTACTTTTCAAGCTCCTCCTCCTCAGACTTACCAGGCTCCTCCTCCTCCGTAGTCCTTTGTTACTCATGTAACTCGATCTCTTTCTCCTATGTTGTTAACTAGTGCAGCTTTTTAACCCCTCCACTTCTACTAAATTTCCCTTTGATATTGTTGTTGTGTATGGATGATTTTAGTATTTTTTTTAAGGATCATGATATATGGTGTTTTTAGCATATTCTAACAATGTTTTCTAAAGTGTTTTTGAATGTTTATCGAGTCTTTTTAGTCTTTTTTAAGTCATTACATGTATGGAGTTGCATTTGGATGGAAGATGGACCAGTTGGAGAAAAATATTGCAATTTGATGATTTTCACGAAGAACAGTCTGTAAACTGTTTCCGAGTGAGCGGAGCAGCCTGAAGCGCATGTTCCCGCGGCAGAGTTTTTTAAGGAAATCTTAACTTATTTCGGGATTTGTCTTAATTCTCCTATTTTTCTCTCCCAGCCTCTAGCAACCTCCATATATCTTCTTTTCCTATTTTCTACATTATACTAAGCTACTTTTTACCAGAGAAACAACTCTAGAGCTTTTGGATTATTGTGATTTTGCTACTTTGTAAAGGGAGAAGACTTTCTCTCTCGATTTAGAGAAGAACCCTCTGAACCCTATCTTATTTATCTATTGATTCAACAATGTTTTCTTCATCCATTGTCTCTATGTTTTCTCTGTTCATGGCTGAGTAGTCAGCTTACTTAGTCTAGGGTGTTAGGGTGTTTAGATCCATGAGCTAAATACAAATAAGGTTCATTATTTGATTGTCTCCGTTCATGTTCTTACTTATTGCCTGCATTAAACTAGCTAATTAATGCTTGAACCTAGGTTTAATCTAATCATCAAAAGTGTTTTAGGTTGCTAGAAATAACTTGAATGGGCAGTTCGTCCCTAACCAGCGAAAGTAGATGTTAGGGCGTGCTGTGAACTTATCGAATCTGATGTTAATGTTTTCTTTCATGTTTTAGTCCAAACGAGAGTTTAGGTATTAAGGCTGATTGTTAAAAGGGGAGATACCACGAGAGTGGGTCAATCTTTATTTGTCTTTTGAGTTTTAGATTTGTGCTTAATAAAACCTTGAATAGATGTTTGGCTCATGATCGTTTGATACCCAATCCTTCACCCTAGGCTAGCATTCTCTTAAATCTGAAACCTAATCAATTTGTGTTACTTGCTTTCTACACTTTCTTTATTTTAAAACTCCATATTGTTTTAGCTTAATATTGATCCAATAAAAATAAAGTGTAATATTTGGTCTCTGTGGATTCGATCCTCAAGTACTACATTGAACCTCTTATTTGAGAGAGTAGCTTGAAGGTTAATTTGAGCATATCAGATCAACCCTACCCAAAACAAAAACAAAGAAAATACTCCGAATATACAGTATGTTAATCATATCTTTAATGTTGTAATATTTTCTTTCTTGCTCCTAGAAAAAAAAATCCATCTAGGTTAAGCTCGTTATTAGTGTAGTGTGTAGATAACAATCTAAAAGGGGTTAAGTAACAAGTTTGTTTTTACAACCGTTGACAAATATTGTTGCTAAAATTTGATCTGTTCAACGATTTTTTTTTAAAACAATAGAATACTCTTTTTTCTTACTATTGTTTGACTTAAATCATTAGAAAAATACCATAGAATTTCTTAAAATAAAGATATGAGTAACAAAAGAGTAGCCAACCTCGACCATACGAATATACTTTGTATTATAAATTGATGAAAAACAAAACACGGCATGGGTTGGCTAGAATCAACTGGTTGTATATAGTAGACGTGTGTGTATGTTTCTTCTGTGCAATTGGAAATTTCTTTTAATGGAGAGGTTTGGGATTCAAAACCAAACTCTAGTTTCGTTTCTTTTCTTATTATGTTTCTCTTCATCCTCAATTATTTTGTTTTGGGTCAAAACGACAACGTTAATGAAGACTCCGGGTCCCAGCAAGAACGGGTTAAAATCCGGGTCGGGTTGGTTTTGAATTTGGGTTCCTTGGAGGGAAAGATAGTGGGAAGCTCTGTTTCCATTGCCCTTTCTGATTTCTACGCCAATAACAATGATTACAAAACAAGAGTCTCTCTCTCAGTTAGAAACTCTCAAGGGGAGCCTCTCCGTGCTCTTGCTTCTGGTAAAAGTGATTACATTCTTCCACATTCTGCTTTCTTCTCTGTCTCTATTCATTCAAAAACTACATATGTTTCTGTTTTTTGAATGAAACAGCTGTTGAGCTGCTGGAAACTGTAGGAGTGGAGGCGATTATCGGCGGGAACTCGTTTCTTGAGACGAAGTTTTTGGCGGAGATTGGAGAGAAAGCTAGGGTTCCTGTGATTTCACTTAGCTCTCCAGTTTCTTTGTCAATGCGCAAATACAGTCATTTGATCCAAGCGACGCATGATTCTTCCTCTGAGGCAAAGGGCATTACAGCTTTCATCCACAGTTTTGGTTGGAAGAGTGTTGCTCTTGTTTATGAGGATGACGATGACTGGAGAGAGAGTATGCAACTCCTGGTGGACCATTTTCATGAGAACGGTGTTCGTATTCGGTCCAAGGTTGGTTTAACCGTATCTTCAAGCGAGGAGGTTATGATGGATCGGTTAAGGAAGCTGAAGGACTGGGGAGGGACTATCTTTGTGGTGCACATGTCTGAACTTGTTGCAAATCATCTTTTCCATTGTGCTGGGAAGTTAGAGATGATGAGTGAAGGGTTTGCTTGGATCCTTACTGCCAAAAGCATGAACAGTTTCAATCAGAACACTGATAAATTTTCAAAAGAAGCAATGGAAGGTGTGGTTGGTTTCAAGACTTACATCCCATTTTCAAAAGAGCTTCACAATTTCACTTCTAGATGGAGAAAATCACTAGGCAATGCGGACGATGTTGGGGCTGAGATAACTCGGTTGAGCATCTCCGGCGTATGGGCTAACGATGTAGCTTGGGCACTGGCGAGAGCAGTAGAAGTTACAAGGATTCACAATGCATCATCAACTCTCCTTGAGGCAATCACTCAGTGTAGGTTCAAGGGTTTGAGTGGTAACTTCCAAATCAAGGATAAGAATTTCTTGTCAGACAAGTTTGAGATTGTGAACTTGATAGGATCAGGTGAGAGAAGGGTAGGCTTCTGGAATACTAATGGTACTTTCAGTAGTGGAAGACATTTGTACAACAAGGTGGACACCATAATCTGGCCCGGTGTGTCTGCTCAAAGTCCGAAAGGGCGAAAACTAGGAGAAAGCAAGAGAAAAACGCTGAGGGTTTTGGTACCATCTAGCAACAGATTCCCAAAACTAGTGAATGTGATGACTGATGAAGTAAAAAAAAAAATAATTGCTGATGGGTTCTGTATACAAGTCTTCCATGCTTCCATTAGGCGTTTCAACTATGATGTTGAGTACATACTTTGGCGCAATGGTAGCAACTACGACGATCTTGCATATGCTCTTAGTAGCCAGGTACTAGCCATTGATCAGTTTACGATTACAAGTGTTTTTTTTTTCATATATGTAGAGTGTAAACTGAACCAAGTCCACATTTGTGTTGTATCCCACAGAAAGACAAATATGATGCGGCCGTGGGAGATATTACAATAACTTCCAATAGATCGAGTTATGTTGCTTTTACCATACCATTCACTGAAATGGGTCTTGGAATGGTGGCACCAAAGCAGAGTGGTATGTGGGTGTTCTTTCAACCCCTAACACCAGATCTTTGGATGACAAGTGCAGCTTTCTTTATCTTGACGGGCACTATAGTTTGGTTGATAGAAAGACCTGAGAACACTGAGTTTCAGGGATCTTGGTCACAACAGATTGGAGTTATGCTTTGGTTTGGCTTCTCTACCCTTGTTTATGCTCACAGTAAGTACATCTTTTCACATTCACAGTAAGACCTAAGAACACTGACTTAGTTTTTATTAATTTTAGTTAACCACAAAATGGTTTTTCATATTTTGCTGCTTGCTATTTGTGTGACAGGGGAGAAGCTAAAACACAACCTATCAAGATTTGTGGTTACAGTGTGGGTATTTGCAGTGCTGATACTGACTACGAGTTATACTGCAACATTGACATCAATGATGACAGTGCAACAGATAAGATTCAATTCCAATAAAGACTTTATAGGGCACCTTTCGGGCTCACTCATTGCAAATGCAAGCCTGGCTAGTACCAACATCAACGCAACGAATGTCAGAGGTCTCAATAACTCTGCAGACTATACTAAAGCCTTACTTAACAACAGTGTCGCATTCATTATCGATGAGTTGCCATACCTTAATGTCCTCCTTGGAGAGAAGCCTGATCATTTTCTCATGATCAAGCCACAAATTACCACCAACGGTTTCGGATTTGTATGTGTCCCTCTTTATCTCCATCTTCTTTTTTCACTTGCTGACTAAAAGGTGCTGGTTTGTTTAAACTTTAAACCATGTTTCAGATGTTTCAACAAGGTGACGAATTGGTGCATAAGGTGTCTAAAGAAATCTCCGAGCTAAGAACCAAAGGGAGGCTAAACGAGATGGCGGTTAGGTGGTTTGAGAATCGGCTTCCATACACAATAGATGATACATCAGATCCTATAGACCTTTACAGGTTCCGTGGTTTGTTTATGATCACTGGAGGTTCTTCAGCTTTTGCTCTTGCAGTTCTTTTCATTATTTGGTTAAGAGATAGATGGGAAGATCTTATGAGTTCCATCAACATATTTCTCTCGCGACGATTTGTACATTTCAGGATCATCTTTGCAAGAGCTATCCATCATAGCCCACTTGATGACCTCTTTGGTGAGAATGCAGTGCAGTTGGCTCAACGTAACAGATAGAAACTGATTCAAATATAGCAAAAGGTCCATACAAGTGAAGTGGATGGTCCTGTATCTTGTGTTTTGTTGTGCCTAAGTCTTTAGCTTACACAAATTTTTGTGATGTTGTTCGTCTCTGACTCTGACCTAGAGCCAAACTGGAGGGGTGGAAGTCAATATTGTAATTAATAAACTAGAATAAGACCTGCGCCTTGCGCGGGATGAAGTTGTTATATTTATTATATTTTGAAAAATGAAACAATAGTTTGGTTCATTTGGATTAGGGATGTTCAATCCAGATATCGGGTTTTAGTTAGGTTCAATTTTTTGGTATTTTATTTATTAAAATATAATTAATATTCTAAATCCATATTTACTTGGATTCGATTTGGTTTATATACCATCGGTTTTCAGTTTATTCAGTTTTATACCAAAAACATAATTATTTAGTTTGAGATCATATTATATATTATACAAATATATAATATGATCATATTTAGAGTCATATTGTCAAAAAGTCATTTATTAAAAAATATTATATATTTAAATAAAAGAATAAAAAAGGGCTTCTATCATCTAATAAAATGATGAAATCTGGAATTAATATCAAAGTTTTAAATTTGAAAAAAAAAAAAAAAAACAAAACAGAATGAAAGAAAAGTTTGTATATTCTTCCATATGTTTTCATCAAATTAATATGTTTTCGATTGAACAAAAATTTGTTTATTTAAAGATAAAAAAATTGTAAAGAATTTCAACTAATTGTTGTCTATCAAATTTATAATTATTATTTATGTTTATTTACTATTAAAATAAAGCAAAAAGATAAAAAAATTAAGAAAATAAGAAACCTCACTAAATTGTTAGTTAATTATAGTTCAAGTGATTCAAGTGATTTAGAAATTGTAATAATAGTTCAACTCATGTGTCGTTATAACTATATACTTATTTATATGTTTCAGTTTAATCGGTTATAAATCAAACCATATCCAAATCCTACAGTTTTAATAAAATCACATCCATTCAGTTCGTATGGTATATACAAAAAAACATATTATTGATTGTTTAATATCTTTTAACAATATAAAATTAGAAAAAAAGAACTAATATATTTAAATCATTGATAAAAAAAATTTCAATGTAAAAAATTTAATAAGTTTATAATTTATAAATGTTCTTGAAAATTCATTGATATTTTTGAAATTAAAATATTTATGTAATCTTATATGGTATATAGATTAATATATATATATATATATATATATATATTATTGAATGATACTTTTTACTCATATGGTATAAAAATCATGTGTATCTTTTTATAATAAAAATGTTCAACTATTGATCATTAATTTTTAACATGGTAATTTTAATAGTTTTAGTCACTTATTCTCGTTTTGTAAAATTCAAAATGTAATATATACGAAAAAAATCTAAAGTTTAATTTTATAACTAATTTGATTGTTTAATTTATTTTAATAATATAAAATTAAATAAAAATGATGGAGGAGATATAAATTGTTATCAATATTTACTATTAGAATCATTAATTATCATATATATATTAGTCATTTATGGTAATTTCGTAGGTTTTATTTAAGAAAAGAAAATAAAATAGTAATTATATCTAGCGGAACAGTCATAAATGTTTTTATTCTAAATATCATATCATATCATCATATCATATAGTTTGACCAAAGAATACATCTAGCGACATATAAAAATCGAATGTAAACCTACTTATTTCTCAATTGAATGTAATTGATTACCTAATTGAATGACACCTAAGCATGTGATCTTTTTTAATTATTACAAAATTGAGGTTACAATTTTTCAAATGTTTCTTTTAATATATAAGGGATATTTATGTTTTGCATATATTATTTTTCCCTAGATTCCCAAGTAAACATATTAAGTTTTAACTTGGTCACAAAGTATTTTTCATTTTACATATAGACTTGCGTTAATTAAAAGGAAAAGATAAGAAATCCCAAGCACGATTCCAGAAGCTTTCTTCCATCGCATGTAAGTTTTTCTATTTCTCTATGTGAATCATACTTTCTATTTTTCTGTTTCCATTTATTATATGGAAGCTTATGTAAGTCTTCCATGTGATACGTGTGATATTAATGTAAACCGAGTTTTATAGTCTTACATTTAAATGTACACGCGTGTGATATTAATGTTTCCCTAGCGAAATATATAATCGATTTCGGACCTACATTTTTTTTCCAATTGAATCTAAAGCTGCCACGTCAGATTAATTGGCATGTTAATTGATTGACAACTCAGCAAAGTTATTTTTTAATTATTACAAACTTGAGGTTACATCTT